CACAAGAATGATCTTAACTTGAGTATACATGACTTCCATAACAGTTCTTTTTATGAAGCTCACTATAAAAGCATTGCAATAGTGCACAATTTTAGTTTTTAAAGACTTCCTCAATCACTCCTCCCCTCAGATCATGAATTGAGGCTTCATACTAGCTTAATGTCAGTTATGCTTTCTTTGAAGCGTTTATCAGCACTGCATGTTTGGTTTGATTATATGAAAGAATGGTGACCTGGTGGCACTTAACTATCAGACAATTACAATCACAAACTATATTTTTATATTTCTATGAATTTAGCAGACACGTTTATTCAAAACAATTCAAGATACACACTTTATCCACTGCATTCCCAGGGAACTGAGCCCAAGACTTGTTTGTATGTTTCTAGAGCCATGCATGTTACAGGAGCTCATTACTGAAGAATATGTGCACACATATAACACACATACTGGCAAAATGTAAACCTTGAATGCACTGTAAGTCACTTTATGTAAAATTGTCTGTCAAATGCATAAATGAACACGTGAAGAAGCAGTTCAGTTACATGCTCTGAAATTCTTGCCCATTTTACTTGCCGTTTTTGCAGCCTGTCATACAGATTAATGCAACTTTCATCATGTTAGGGTCGGGGACTCCCCAGTCTAGTTGGCTATTCAAAAGTGAAAATGTATATAATCTGTATTACCTGAAATAATTTTTTTAAAGTTGCCTAAGCATAGCCCCCAGGCCAAGCCTCCAGTTGTATACACAGTAGGCTAGCTTTTGAGATGTGTTGACAAAGTAAAGCATTTCATCTAAAATTCAAGGGGAATTAAATGTATTTTGTAAAATCAATAAAGTCTATGAGGGAGAAAAAGCCACAGGCAGGGTAGCGGAGATAAATAATCATTAAAATTAGTCTATGTGAAACCATACAGAGCAAGCAGCAGTATCTGCTAGCTGTTATGCTAATGCTTCTGCAAGAGCAATTAACATGCTACATTGTCAGCTTAACTTTTATTCCGTTGTTTATGGCAAACAAGAGAAAAATGAGAAACAAGACTGAAAAAATACAGAAAAATATTAGCACTTAAGGGGCCTGCTTACAACAGAAAAAGTGTTAAATATATTTGTTTTTATATAGTTAACTGAGCTAAACATATGCTGGAAAATAGGCATACAAAATATATCATAAAATAAATGCATAAAACTGTATTTGTTAAAAATGATTGGCCTATTGACATTAAGTATTTGAGTTTGTGTGGAAATCTCAAATTTTGGACTATCATAGCAAATATATCAGGAGACTTCAGGGAAAATTTCCATTTGCATTCCACATAATCTCAAACAGAGGAAACAAATGACATATTACAGAGATCTCACATGTGATTTTCTTTCTGTTGCTTGAGGCACTTTGACTGAGCTGATTAAACCATAAAAACAAGTGAACTATTATACATTATGCACCCATTATATTTTTTAATTTGTAAAGCAAACTCATTAAACAATAAACTTTGGTAAAATATCTTGTCTAGCCATAAAAGAACACGCATTAGAGCTTTACAACCATTAGTGCAGTGTTTGAAGCATTAGATAATTGAAAAAGTTGTATCCAATTCATAGTTCAGATTAGTGGTACAGCGTCAAGTTATCTCATTAAAAACATATGTAGGAAATAAAATAAGAAAGAGGAAAAAGACAGACACAGTGAACCGATCAGAAGTATTGTCAAAACATTAATTCCAGCCTCTCTTCTATTACTTGATTAATGTGTCAGCAAGAGAAAAAAGAGGGATATGTGTAATAGATTAATGCAGTTTAGTCAAGTTCCATGGTGACATCATCTCTGGCAACATTCAAATCTGAAATTTGACAATAAAAGTAAACAACAACTTCAGATTGTCTTGTAAACAAGATATCTATTCTTTATTTTCCCCATCTATTGTGTCATATATCTCTCTATTCAATCGCAGAGAGATTTGCAGACCACTCTAGGTGAGAGTGTTTTGTCCATCTGAGGGGACCTGCATTAATCACCCTCATCTTGTATCTTACATGGGTAATGTTTCATCACAGCAACAGCAGGTACATTTATTAAGACTCATATGGAAGTGGTTGTTAGTGGGATTCGCATCATTCATTACAGAGTAACGAGAATAAACGGGAAGTTGCAGCCAGGTAGGAAATAAGGGGCTTTAGCTGAGAAAAGCAGAGAAAACATGAGTCAATCACATATACTGACTACAACAATGCAGACGTAACACTGCTCATGTACACAACACATCACGAATAGACACATTTCAATATTTTAAACGTAGTTTATCTACTGTGATACCAGGCCAACTGATTTCCACCTTTGTTTGTATTGACAGTCAGTGACTGCTACCCACCAAATAAAAAAGTAAATGTGAACATAAAAAATATAATAAAAGACCGGCAAAAAAAACAAAACAAAAAAACAATGAAACATCTGCACAAAGGGCCTTTAGCTGAGAAAACAAGGAAAACATGAGTCAATCACATATACTGACTACAACAATGCAGACGTAACACTGCTCATGTACACAACACATCACGAATAGACACATTTCAATATTTTAAACGTAGTTTATCTACTGTGATACCAGGCCAACTGATTTCCACCTTTGTTTGTATTGACAGTCAGTGACTGCTACCCACCAAATAAAAAAGTAAATGTGAACATAAAAAATATAATAAAAGACCGGCAAAAAAAACAAAACAAAAAAACAATGAAACATCTGCACCAAATACTGAAGAAGTTGAAGAACTAAAGAACTGAATGGAAAATGCTCCCCTCTTGTTGGACTGGGACATAAAATAGTAATTGTAACAAAATTACAATACAAAAGTCCTTGTAACAACCTTGCATGTACTGTTTGTATATATTTGTACGTGTGTAGGTATTTGTATTTGTATTATTATTACTATTATGTATTATTATCACTATTAATAATAATACATAATAGTAATAATAATACAAATACATATACTACACACACACACACATAATTAATATATTCTTTTATATACATATATTTATTTATTATTTACCTATTTTATATATTTATTTATTTAAAAAAAATGTTTTTTTACTTTTTACTTACAAATACAGAACAATTATCTTTAAAAGTATTGTTCTTTTGGATTCTTTGCCAAAATGTAATAATAAATAAATAAATAAAACAAAATCCTTGTTGGACATATTTGCAACCATCACTTTTCATGTCCTCTCCATCCTTTCTTCACACCCTGTCTTCTTTCTTGAAAGCTGTTCTGCTGACTTCTTTGTGCTGTTGACTTGAGGATGTGATTAGTAGCTTTTCTCTCCCGCTCCATCCACTTTATTATAGCATGAAAATGAACCTGCAGCTCACTGCTCCATTTTAAATACCACTGTCATGGATAAATCTGCTCCTGTTCACACCCCTGTGAAATATTAAACACATAGAGAGAGAGAGGGAGAGGGGCGCCCACCGGACGATGGATCAATATTTGCACCTCAGCTCGAAGCAATAAATATTCAATTGGTGAGAATATGATTATGACTTTGCAGCCCTAAGAGATGATTTAAAGGGGTCATATGATGCGATTTCATTTTTTCCTTTCTCTTTGGAGTGTTACAAGCTCTTGGTGCATAAAGAAGATCAAATAATGTTCTTTTTAGCAGCATCATATGACCCCTTTAATGACTGCTGATGAATAAAGGCAGTGCATTCCATTCTCTTAGTGATGCATGATGTGCCATTTTTAATCATTCTTTTCTCTCTTTTGATGATGAAAAGCCATGCTTCAGAATACGTGCAATCTGAAGTCAATGCGTGTTTGAGCTTGTACTGAGTTTATAAGTGAAACAATGAAAAAAAAAAGTGGAATAATGCTGGGCTTTAGATTCAGTGCTTGTTCTTGTTTCGTCATTCACACGTTCAGATCTGAATCATGTTATTTTGACTCTGCTTGCCTTTTTCTGCTTAAAAAAAAAATCTTGCAAATTGCGAAATGAATTTGATTTATAACACTGCAGCCTGTACATCTCATAAAATGAACAAGGTTGATAAACTGAATTTCATCCAATGGTGGAAACTGTTATAAAAACAGTTATGCAAAGCAATTCAGTATTGATTTATAATTTTTTAACTACACAGTGGCCTTTAAATTTATTCCAAAAATGTATTAATTGCAATAATAATAATAATGAAAGAGAAAGATGAAAAATTCTCAAGAATACATTTTAAGTTTAAAAAGATAAAACAAAAGATATACTGCTTAAATGAAGAAAACAAGTATTTGGACATGTTTTGCTTTAAAAGGTAAGTTAGTTCTGAGAAAATGTCTAGCAGCATTTGTTGACAGGTGCCACTTGGCTTGGTATTTTCTAATGCATTCATATTTTGGGGGGCTACTGTATACAACTTGGATATACTATAGCCTTACTTCATACATGATATTCAGAGGAAAATAGCAGAAATATTAAACATAGAGTGTACAAATACACCAAACAAACATTCACTTAATGCAGTTATAAACAGTGCAAAACATTACATAGAATGCAAACCAAAATGTTTTTAATAAGTATTAATTGAAAGCTCTTCACAACGTCAGTGTATATAAATGGCTACTTTCTTCACTCCTATCACATTCATTCAGGCATGTATTAAAAGGTCATAGGGCAGCAGACAAAACAGATTCCCATTAGGCTTGTGGGAAGTGTTTAAAGGTACCTTAAAGCATTGTTGAGAGGATGTGTGAGAATTGTTCAGGCCTCAAGTGAGTCTGGGGTGAGTGTGTTAACAGAGCTGGAGAAAATATGGCTAACACAAGGGATTTCTGTTAACTCATATTATTTGTGTTTCATTGCATTTAAATAAAAATTTAATAGCTGCTCTGTAGTCAATAACTCTTTTATTCTGGGCTTTTGTTGAATATACTGAGTGTTGAAACTTTGTTGCGTTTCTTATGAGCAGACTTTTATCTCTTTCTCTTTGTTGTTTTTCTCTCACAGACAGTAACTTTGTGCTGGGGAATGCGCAGGTCCAGTCTCTGTATCCCATCGTGTATTGTTCTGATGGCTTCTGTGAACTCACTGGCTATGCCCGTGCGGAACTGATGCAGAAGAGCTGTGCGTGCCATTTCCTGTATGGGCCGGAGACCAGTGATAGGCTGATGGCACAGATCCAGGGTGCACTGGACGAAAGGCGGGAGTTTAAGACAGAGCTGGTCTTCTATAAAAAAGGAGGTAGGAGTCACATCGTTAATTAAATGCCTTTGTCTCCTGCAATAAAACCAAATGACCAGGGATTCATCCCAATTCCCATAATATCTACCCTAAATAGTATGCAAAATTAGGATTAGTCCATTCCAAAACTGCCCAAATTGCCTGAATGTTATGCTAATTTTCCCCATAAACTGTTATTTATTTATAATTAAAACTATATTATAAAATTTTGAAAAAATTGGATTAATAATAAATTATATTATTAATAATTTAATTATCAATTATTACTGTTAATAATAATAATAATGAGTTGCATTAAGACTTAAATGTGACATACCTACATTCCGAAAGGTAGAGGAGTTAATTAAAGAGGATGTTAAAGCAATTAAATAACAATAGTTATGCTGTGGATAAGGATACCAAATCAAAGCAAACTCTAAAATCAATTAATCAGAAATGAATTTCGTATGTACTGAATTGATTAGAGTGATAAAGCAGGCATAGCTGCAGGCGATAATGAAATGAATTAACACAGTGGGGTGATGGAGGGATAAAAATAAAAGAACAGAACCGAGCGATGTACAGAAAAATACTTTTTAAAATAGTAGTTTTTAATAATACTTTTCTTCCTATCTTAAGACAATGGATTATTTGTATTATTATACAGCTTTCTGGAATAGTTTGGTCGATTCTGCTGTTAAATCATGTATAATTGACTGTAAAGAAAATGATTTCCTACATAGCTGTGCTACAGATTTCCCCCATAGTCTAATAAAATAATTGAACCTCAAATCGATATTTCAAGTGCATTTACTTATTTAGTAAGTAGCAGTGTAATAAGAGGTATAATGTAAGTATATAATATACATTATTCTTTTACTTATTGATTAACGATTATACATTTTGAATATGAGTGCTTGGCATTTTTATGGATAATAAAATTTACAAATTGAATAAATGCAACCTGAGCTTAAATTAAACAGATCGGAAAGAAAAAACATCTATAATGGCTCACTTTAAATGTAATCATGAGCTTCCCTCACAGTAGATTACCAAACAAATACAGTTTCAGTCCAGACTACATATATATTTGAACAAATTGACTTTAAATGCCTGCCTTGTTCTTAACCGTGTGTCTGGAGCAGCTGAGCATAGTAACATCATAATTGAGCAGCTGTCTGTCTTTTCTCTCCCTCACCGATTTCCCCCAAAATAACACAATATGCCTTTAAACCAGTCTTGAATAAACAATGCCTCAGAGATGACTGTGATTTCTGATGGCTTGATTTGTTCCATGTTGAACATGATACACAGAAAGAGCGCAGCGTGTCATATAGTTAACGTCATCCACGTTTTTACCCACCTGCGGTCAAGAGAACACAATTCCATCCGTGTATCAGGAGACCATTGTGAATTGCTGTGAACATACAGAGTAGACCTCTCTGTCATACACCAGAACAGGTGGAGAGAATTTGGCAGATATTTAGAGCAAAATATTCTCCAAACACAGCAGCGTTGACAGCCGATTTCTCACCTGATTCACTTCAATTTACCATTCGTGCAACATGCATCAGAGAAAATTTACCCCATGCAGCCCGAATTCAGAGTCCAATTCATTCATTTGACTGGTTTGTAAGAGATACTCAGGAGCTGTTTGTTGTCTTATCAAAGAGAATAGGCTATTTGTGTACTCTATCCAGTTTGTAAGGTTTGATTGTGGATTGTCTGACTCTGAACAAGCCACTGCAGTCCCAGACAGAATTCTGAATGTTTCCTCCATCACGTCGCCTCTGTGCATCAGCCATAACAACCCTCCCGCCACTTTGTCAATGAGTCAAAGGACTTCTGAACATTGGCACTTGCCAAACACATCTCACACACCTCTCGTGGCCTCCAGGTTCAGGTTGAGGTTGTACATGGTTCAAAGGGAATAAAAGATCATGGCTGCAAGACTGCTGTAAATTCCCTCTGTTGCACAGCTGCCTTGTTGCATTGAAACACTGGGTTCGTCCCAAATCGTGTACTTATGCATTATTCTATGACATTTTGTTAGTATACTGTAAATAGTGCGAGTAATTTGTTCTCACTGAAAATTCCAAAAAGAAAAAGTGCACTTTAAATACCCAGATAATGCACTCAAATAACAAAAAAAACATAGTGTGGAATGTTGGACACTTCATTATGTAGCGAAGGGGGAGGGGCTATCATACCCCGATTATGAATGACAATAACCTTATATAAGTCATACACTACATAGTTGAGTACATAGTAGGCTACATAAGTACATAGTATATAAGTGTATAGTGCATCATTTGGAACACTACTGTCAGTCCTCTGTAAGATAAAGAGCCTTAACAGACTGTCAAATGCAGATTCAATTATCGCTTTGACACAAATTCAATAATTTACAATAAATACATAAAATAAAATCAGAATGATAATTGAACACTCAGTCATTTTATAGTACTGAAATAACTGTAAAGAATAACTTTCGAAGCAATCTAATCGGTTTTGGGTGTAAAAGTACTTTTTTTTTTTTTTTTTACTATAAATCCTGAAATCAGCAGTACCAGCTCGATTATTTCCCAGCGCCGTCTAGCGTTTTGCGCATGCGTCAAGTGCTAGAAAGCGTTTTTCATTAGCGGGACAGGTTAGCTGTTTTTAAACTAGTGCAGCTTTTCCAGTAACTTTTTTTTTTTTTTTTACAACGCGTAGTAGTATAGCTCGACCAACGCTACATCGCTGTTTCATTGCATGAACTGAGTGAGTAATAAAATACTTACTTAAACGGTCCTCTTTCGCTCTTTTTCTCATTTGTGTAGCGCTGGAAACGAAAGTCCGATTCATTCTAGTGAATCGATTCGTCCCGAATGGTTCTCTCTCATTCAGTACTGTATATAGCGTTGGAAAGACTGATTTATTTTAGTGAATCGGTTCGTTCGAACAGTTCATGTAAATTAACATATTAAACGATTCATTTATTCAAATGCCGCTGTACTGTGCTTAAAACTTGATTATGTAAATATGCATGTTTTGCTTTATTTAACATTAAATGTAACTGTTCAGATTATATAGGCCACTGTCACCCTCTTAGATTGTTCATTCATTTAAAACCCCTCACTGGTTTTATTGACTTAAATATTATCAAATTATTAAATTAAAAACACTTTTTTGAATTTTCCTAACTCAGCAATCTAAAATTTCAAAGTAGCTTCTCCAACACTGGTTTTGGGTAGTTGGAAATTCCTATAGGCCTACATGAAATTCACAGGAAACTGCTACATTTAATGTGGAAACCCTGTTGTGTTTTGTTGTTGCTGTACACCCACAGTCAAAATGGCCATTTAATTGCAAACGGTGGGCAGTTTAAATTCAAAACCATTCTTTAAAAACAGCAATAAATAATAAACAGTTGCTTTGAGATACAATGCAGTTAATTTAGTGTAATAAAGAGCTCTTATGTGAGGTTTAAGAAAGATACCTGACCCTTATTGGCCAATAATCATCATAACAACCTGGCATCCATTGTGCAGTCAAACTATTGGCTGTTTAACCATTCATTGTTGATTTTAGCTGTCCAGCACATGTGGCACAAATCAATTTATTGTATTTACCTATTGTCAGCAGCACATGCTTTATTCATAGGTTAGCTTGTTGCTGTTCTTAGACCTTATTAAGTGGTTTGTTTTGTATGTATTGCTCATTGTATTATATGGTCTCTGATCACTGGTTCAATTAAATTTATTCTTTTCTTATTGAAATTTACTTCTCTTGACTCAAGCTGTGCCTAATGAAAGGGCTTGGTGATTCACACACACACACACACACACACAACTGTGTATCATTAAGAACTCCAACTTCCAACCAAGCATGTTCTACCTCTTTCTTTCTGTTTCCCTCCGTCTTGATTTAATGAGGCGTGGTATGATGCTCTGGCATAATGTTGAGCAGCTGCAGAATGTCGTAGAACCTGGATGTGTGCACAAATAAACACAGACACCAAACAGTGTATTCTGTGCTCAGCAGTCAAGACATGTTCTGCTCATCTGTCCAAAGATTACATTTATAAACTTTCAATTATACAGTATATATATATATATATATAAAGAGACGCACATAGATGTATGGATGTTATTGACAAATATCAGTGGAAAATTGGATAGACAAAGAATTTAATTTCTGGGAAGACCAAATGCTGAGAAATACAAATCAGACCGCTCAGGGAGAAAAGGACGGGAGATGAACATGTTATGAAGAGATAATTTACATATCTTTAACCATGTCTGTGTTATGTTGAACACTCTCTGTGTTCAGAATTTGGGCTCAGAGAATCAGGTTAGAGAGATAAGGAACCAAATATGACATCTATCTAGTTAAATATAACATCTAATTGTGTGTAAAATGTTTTTCTTCTTTTGGTGCAAAAAGTGACTATTATTAATAGCAGAACAATTAGTAAAAAATTAAAGAGCTGAATTACTTTATTATGGAAGATGTTTTTTTTTTCATTATCAATGTCATCAATTAGTTGTTGCAGCTCTAGATTCAATTGCTAAAATCTAATGGATTCATATGAGATGCTCCTGCCAGACTTAAAAGCACTTTAGATGACAGTGACTTTGAGATGTCCTTCTATGCTCCTTTGCTACTTAGTCTAGAGCTGCAAAAATTGTTTTCCCTATTTTCAATTTAACTCAAGGTCAAATAGGGGCTCATGGGAAATGAAGGCAGTACAGCCAACTGAGACAACATTTGATAAAAAGCTATTTCTGGTTTAGACAAACTAATAAACAGAAAATTATTTATCAAGCCATTTATGGATCTATGCTACATTTTAAACATAAAGCCTGGTCTAAATATAAGACTCAGTAAATGCCTGTGAATAAATGTGTGTCAATATTGAATGTTCATGTTGAATATTAACTCTGATGGCTATTATGGATATTATTTTGTTACAGGAACTCAGTTCTGGTGTCTTCTGGATATTGTGCCCATTAAGAATGAGAAGGGAGAGGTGGTGCTCTTTCTAGTGTCACACAAGGACATAACAGACAATAAGAAAGTCCAAGATGAAGAGCAGAGTCCAGAAAGAGGTGAGTGTCGCTTCCTGAATGATGGGATATACCAAATAAATATATGTTCCAATTAGACCCCCCCCCCCCCAAAAAAAAATAAAAATAAATTAAAATTACAGACTAATTCATAGGAAAACCATTTTTAAGTTTCAAAGTGGATCTCTAATTCTTGTGTTCTTCCAGTGGATCCTTGTATTCTCTAGTTCTTTAGTAAACCATATATGTACATGGTGGTTTATAGAATGCAGAAAACATTACATTGATTCTTACATAATTTGCTGCTTGTTGATCCAGTCTCTCAGATACCTTCAGTAATGAGGGTAACCTTCCAATATACACTATGAAAACAGTTGTATTGCTGTTGTGTAGAACAAAGAAAACAATTATGAGAGAAGAGAGAAAAAGAGAGAAAAGCAAGAGAGTCATAATGTGTAAAAAATGGTTGCATGCAGTAAGAGTAGGTACAGAGGCATAGCGCTCTATAACAAAGGGAGAATGGTTTCAAAAGAGCAAATTATCCTTTTATACAGACAGCAACACGTTCAGCCTCATGCGAGATGCTCTACAAAGCTTATTACTGTCACAATTCACTCGGGGAGCAAGGAACGAGGAAACGAGGAGTACTTGAATAACACAGTCTTTAATAATCCACAGGAAAACCGAGAACAAGGAGGACATTCAACAAGTAGACCCGACAAACAAGAACTGAAAGGACTAGGGCTTTTAAAGGCAGGATAATTGGGGAGGAACGAGACACACCTGGAATCAAATTAACACAATCAACATGAGGAAGAAACTGGGTCACAGGGGCAAAAACACACACAGAATAGTCCATAATCCTGACAATTACGGGATGATTATTCTTATTTTCCCTTAATTCAATTAATATTCACACACACCTCAAACACCTGGTCTAGTCAATGTCATACTTAGCAAGTATCCTATCCTCTGTTTCTCATTCCCTCACCATCGTTTTTGGCCACTGAATCATGTGTTTTGGATGCTTCGATATACAGACCAGCAGCATCTCGTGTGGTGCTCGCTGTTACAGTAATCCTGACACCTCTCCTCCCCAGAGAGAGAGAGGGAACGGTACACTGATAAAGAGAGAGAAGAAAAGACACACACAAGGCACAGGGAGGGCCGGGAAGAAAGCTTGGCACGGAGGTGTGAAGCTCCCTTTAGTGGCCTGAGCTTGAGCCAAAGCACAGTTACTGTTCATTTGGCTGAAGGATAAACATTGTACTGGCACTAGGAATAATATATAGCTGCTCAATGATGTCAACTCATTAAAAGTGAATAATTGGAATCAATTTAAAAAGAGTGAGTTACATTCTTAATTATGTTGACTACGCCAAATATTCTTTTAAAAAGCAGGGATGGATTTATGTGATAAAGGGAAAAAAGCCAATAAATAAAATAAAAAAGGATGGAATGAGGATTTGGAAAGAACTAGAAATAAATTAGAGGATTTGTAAGACATCTATACAATAAGCTGACAGATGGCTCTCTCCAAATTAGTCATGTAAACCAAAGTCATCAATTAAAATCAACACTTCAGTGAAGGATAGCCTGACGGGAACACGTTAGTTAGCATATGAGAAGGGAGCAAATCTACTTTAATGTCTTTCCCTACTTTCTTATTTTATTTTCTCAACAAAACAGATACTATACATTGCCAAAAGTGTGAAGTCATATAGAAAACACAATATTACTGTGTTTTTCTTTTAATAAAATAAATACAGCCTTGGTGAGCATAATGTTTCAAAAACATTAAAAAAAGTCTTACCTACCCCAAATTTTGAACAGCAGTGTACTGAAAATAAATAATAATAAATAATAATTATGTAACAATCAAACAATTATTCCTTTAATTTTTCTTGTTTCTTGTTCCTAGTCAAATTAAATGAATAGTTCACCTCAAAAAGAAATACACTATTTTTCCACAAATTTACAAAGCCATACTACAGGTTTCTGAGGGGAACAAACTGAAACTGAAGACATTATTTACTGAAAATTGTTGAAAATATAGTACTTTTTTATCCTTTTGGAGCTTAAGATATTTTTGTTGAAAAAAAAAAAAAAAGCAAACAAAATGTCTATTTTGTGTTCCATAGAAAAAAGACAGAAAAATCTTACAGGCAATGCATTAGATAAAGAGTACAAATTATGAATTTTTATTTTAGGGTGAACTGTTGCTTTATAAACAAATTCTGGCTACAAAGTCAGTATGCTACAAAATCAGGCCACCTTTCAGAATGATTCTGAACACCCCTGGTGCAGTGGACAGAATGAAGGTCGGATAGCCTTAGAGAGGGAAGGAGAAGAAGCACAAACTGTATTATAATCTAAATTGGCATCTTTCGCCTTTTTCAAAGAGCTTCTAAAGGCTTTAATTGTTTATTATAAATTTGGTTGTTTATTTCCCACAATGTAATCTATCTGTGTTCATAATTGTTCAAATAAATAACAGTTTTTCTTTTTTTTCATTTGCTGTGTTTTTCATTGGATGCATTTCTCTTTTGTCATATGTACAAACCCTTGATAAAATAATGAATGCAAATGTAATTTGTTTTTGCAGACAGTGCTAATTTGTAATTTTGCAGACAGTGCTAATGGCTAAATGTAATAGTGATTTCAATGTTAAGTTCATTCACTCAAATGGTTATGGGTAAGAAATTAAGCTAGAATTTTCTAATAACTTAAGTGAAGTAATGGTGGAAATCTGTGCTTATGTTTTACTGATGCACAGTAAAGCTACATGTGGTATTTTTTGTTTTTCTGGAATAACTTGATGTTATTTAGTGTTGAGCCAAACAATTCAGAAATGAAATAAACTAAAATGATATATGGCTGTTCTCTGCTCAGACGAGGAGACGGGGCTGGAGGTGCACAAGGTCACGCAGCCACCAGGCTTCAATGCCAACCGGCGACGCAGTAGAGCTGTGCTTTACCAGCTGTCTGGACACCTGCAAAAGCAAGACAAGAGCAAACTCAAGATCAACAATGTAAGACCCAGTTAGACACTCATATTCTTATCATTTAGACCTAAGAACTTAAGAATAGTTCAAGTAGAAACATTATTGAAGGAAATACAAAGGAAATGTAAAGATAAATATATAACAATATGCTGTGTCCAGCAATGAGACAAATTTATTTACGGCTTCTTCTAAAATGAGTTGGATTAGTCTTTAATTCACAGTGGTTTGCACCGTTTATGAAAATCTTGAAAATAAACAAAAAAAATCAAATAAACATTTCTGAACATTGCTATCATTTAGAACATGTTCGGTGAGAAGCCGCCCATCCCAGAGTACAAAGTGGCAGCCATTCAGAAGAGCCGTTTCATTCTTCTCCATTACGGCACCTTCAAAGCTGGCTGGGATTGGCTGATCTTGTTAGCCACCTTTTATGTAGCAGTTACAGTGCCCTACAATGTCTGTTTCACCGTCGTCGGTGGGCGGGATGAGTTGACGATCCCTAGAAATCCACCGAGTGTGAGCGACATCTTGGTAGAAATCCTTTTTATGTTAGGTAAGGCTCAACCTACAGTCCTATTGTTTTTTTTTTTACTATGTCATTAGTTTGGCAAAAAAGAAGTTCTGTCTCAATAATTTTACCTGGGTGATATTAAATGTCTTTTGATACCAATGCCTGCTAATAAAGTACCCCGATTCGTAGCACACCGTTCTATTATTTTTCAGGTGTACGTATATATTTCTGAGTCAGTCTTTTATGTCACAGAGGTAATATATGGCCAGATATATCAATTACTCAGAGCTGGAAAAAAGTTCTAGATGTTACTCAGCAAACGTCACAAAATGCATCTAGCATTTCTAAAGCTTCAAAATCACGAGACAAAACTAAAAAGATTTTGAAGGACGGTTCAGCAAATAGCAAAGCTAAAGATGTTTTATAGTGCAGAAATAACTCGCTGAAGGCCCACTGTCAAATTAATTTATTAGTAAAGTCAGATTCCTGTCTGTAACTGTTGAAGGATACAGTCAAGAATATACTTATATACAAACCCAATAGACAAAACATAAGATTTATTAAGCACTGCTTAAGAGCAGTAGTGTTCAATGACAGAATCTGTTACTGCTCATTACACACAATTTCATAATACAGAGCAACTATTTGTATCATCAAAACGTTTGCAAAAAAGCTCCTACATAAAAAGTTGCTTTTAGCTACTTTTCTGTGCTATAGTTCCCAAAGCCATTTACTGAACTTTTTAAGTGCTATTTGCTGTAATTGCAGCTTACATTAAATAGCATTATTGTCAATAAAACCCAAAACAAACTTTTATAACCTGTCACTGAACCAGGTAATGAATAAAATAGAGTTTTCTGTGATATAGTAACAAATAAATATCTGTGTCTTCTAAGTTTTCTAAAATTATTTTTTTCTTTATATCCCTTTGACAGATATTGTGTTAAACTTTCGCACCACATTTGTGAGCACATCAGGCCAGGTGGTGTATGATGCACGCTCTATCTGTGTGCATTACGTCACCACCTGGCTCTTTGTGGACCTGATTGCTGCGCTACCTTTTGACCTGTTGTACGCCTTCAATGTCAGTGTGGTAAGTGTTAGTTTTGCTTATTTTGAAGATAATTTTATGTCAACTGTTTATTCACAACCTTATAAACCTATTTTTGTTTTTAGATGTTTTAACGGCCCTCACACAGAGCTTTGTGGGAGACCACATTTCATTTGTTGGGCATGCCATCTTAAATTATTATTCTATTTAAGCTATGCATTCAATATCTGTGTGTTTAGTACTTTGGAGTTCATCTGCTGAAAACAGTTCGATTGTTACGGCTTCTACGCTTGCTGCAAAAGCTGGAGCGCTACTCCCAGTACAGCGCAGTGGTACTCACATTACTTATGTCCATGTTCGCCTTGCTGGCACATTGGATGGCCTGTGTCTGGTATATCATCGGCCGCAGCGAGATTGAGAACAACAGCCCAGGTTCCTGGGACATTGGTGAGTGCCATATCTACAAACTGTCAACATAGCTGTACCAACCTTTCATGTGTAAATTAATTCAAACAGATTCTTAAGGTCTTCTAACAAATTTTAAATGCAATGTTTATCCCTGGTACTGGCTAAGCTGAACTAGAAATGACCCTCAAAATAAACTCCTAAAATATTGAATATCTCTGCTAGATGTTTTATGAAATCACATACTCTAAGTGAATTGAAAAAATCCATAATAATGAAAAAATAGGGCAGTTATCTTATTAGCATAAGTACTGCAGTCTAACAGATCAGACTGAGGCCTTGTTTGAGGCCATCTCATTTATTTTCACATGTGAAAGAGTTCTTTTCACAGTGTCTCATACACAAGGATCATTATTAAATGTGTCTGTCCACTAATATTCTCATTACATTGAAAATGTACAACAACCTTTTTAATACAGGTGCAAATGCCTTTTCAAATTAGGTAGACAAATGAAAAGAAGAAAAAAAAAGAGGCCCGACATAATGTGTTTTGTCAGAAGGACAAAACAATCTCTCTGGCTCTGCGAACAGCACACTGATGAGTCTCTGATTTAAGTAATTCTCTTCACATCATTCAAGCATGTGTCATGTCTGAACAAACTTACCTTTTTCACATTTGTTCATGAGCAGGTGAATTACTGCATCAGTCTGACTTACAAATGAACCTCTCGCTCAGTCTCCCCTGTGCTACCCTCCTCATGAATAAGGAAAAAGACCAAGGGTAAAAGAAATGGCTGTGAGAAAAGAGTGTATGATGACATTGATATGATCTTGACAGAATGAATCTCACAGGACTTGATTTATTAAAAGCCATTCGTCTTTTTCTTGACCAAGATAAACTAGGGGAAATATTTTAGGAGTCCTATAAACTAATTTAAAAAATGTAGTTCAGTTCTAATTTGATTTGACTTTTTATGAATCTTTCTCCAGGTTACATAGTTACAGCAGTAGGTGTTGACGAGTGTCTTTACGAGAGAGTCATTGAATCATTCACTGAACCGATTCGTGCAGGAGCAAAACAAGTGATTTATGAGCGATTCAGGTTATTTAATTACTTAAACCTTAAAATGTGGGAGTGTCCAACTTATTTGCACATACCATTTGAGCAATTATTCATAGAAAATTGCCTGCAATATGCGTACAGTCTAACACCATCTGTCATATCTAATGAAAGTGATTCTGATTGGCCTAAGCATCAGCAATATCCTCAGGCACATCTAAGCCCTGACCACTGTTCCACACTGGCTGCTGGCCAGTGGTTTCAATTACATCCACATGTTCTCCTTAAAAGCAGGGATACTACTCCAATATTCAGTCTCTGCTGTTGTGCCAACAATATTACCCATCATTCCCTCTCACCCAGTTCTACATTGCCCAGCCATTAAATATTAAGCAGATGAGGCTGCCATGACACGTCTAGTTTTGCTAGTGGAAATGGAAGTTTGTAGCACATCAGAAGGAATATTTTAGCACTGAAATACAACACACATCCAGTGTTTAATGAGACTCAAATGTGTGACAGTTCGGCTTTCAAATGGCGAATGTAGAATTTGGAAATGTAACAGATTTACAAGAAGCTGTTTTATATCTGGTGAGAACTAGTTTCAGCTTGGCTCTTTACAGTTATTATCATTTGCCTTTGTGAGGCAGTGTTATTGATGATAATGAAATATTGAAGTAATTTTGAGTAGTGCTGTCTATCTGTGTTGGAAATAGGGACATAAAAGGATGTATAGTAAATAGATTGTAGGTTTGCCATATCAATAATGAAAGGTTTCTCTGAGGGTTCCCCCAGGAGCTGATTGAACTCTGGTTGTTCTGTGACTCCCTCTTCATTTTTTTTCCCCCATATCGCTCACTTCATTGGCCTCACTTCAGCAGAACACTGTTCTTTTTAATGGCTAGCTGCCCAGCAGACCTTGAGAGACTAGCGAGGATTTTCAATTTGGCTCCAAAAATCATACTGTCAAATCAGTCAAAACTCTTGATTCTTTCTCAAGTGGTTTGGAAGAGAACAGAGATCCCTCACTGCTAGAAATATATTATCCTTTTGGTCTTGTCTTATTACATGCATTTTAATATCCTCTTTTTGCACATCAGTCTCCCTTACCTTCCTCATCCAACACTGATTCCTACATTCCTGCTTGAGTATCATGTATAACCCCCTTTATTTAACCCCTAACCCAAGCTAACACTATCTTGAAGAAATCTATTCCCTTTCTACTTGTCTTTTCTCACTGCTCAAAGAGCTATCTTTGCTTTTTGTCATATATGTCATTACCCATGGGCTTCTCTTTGGCTCCCTTCTCATGCCATGAATAAATAATGTGCGCCTCACAACCATATCAAACATATACTTATACTACATTAGGTATATTAGATATTCAAATGTATTTTTCTTGTGTACTTGTCCCTTTTTCCTCCTGCGGTGATTTACAACCCAAAGTAACCTTTGTGGTTTGAGACACCATTTTTCCATTCATCATTCACTTTCTATTCATATTTCCATCCTAAATAAACAGCAGGATTTGTAAAGTATATGTTTCTCAAGGCTGTTCCATCAGAGCATTACTGGTATAAATTAATCTTCGGCAGTGCTCTTTGCTAGTATTACATTTACATTTGTTCTATTCATTGTAGAGACCGTAAGCTTGTCAAGCACTGGTTGATGGCTGTTTTTCACAAATAATTATGCACTTTGTCATCAAGTGCAATTGAATTGTCAAAAACATAATTTTGTTTTATTCTACACAAATAATGTGACAGAAAAGCTTGCATAAATCTCAGTGGTGTCTGGAGAAAACACTCTCACTAATACATACCAGCTTCACTCAGCCAGTCCAGACATCCACAGCTTTCGCACACACATGCAAATATTAAGTTTTGATGCCTTTGAATGTAAATAATATATATTTTGTCTCTAAGTTGTTGGTTAAATGTTAATATGAGTGCAGCTACTATACAGGATTTAATCATGGCTGTGAGTTTGGGGCAATTTTAACATTTAAAACCTGAAAAATGTAATCTTGAAAATGTGTGAGGATCAATATTTCATTAAAATAAAATAGTTGAAGATAAAATGTAGTTATTTAAAATCTTCACAATGTAGGTCTGTTAAATGCACATTACTCCTGCTAGCTAAAACCATTATCACCATATAAAAGGGAAAACTATTGTGTAATATTATTAAGTATTAAAGCAATTATATTATTACTTTGAGGTGTACTCTCGTTTCAGATACAGTGGGTTAATACCATTTGTGTAAGGGGGGCAATTATAACACTCTGACTCTGAAGCCGATTCAATATTATTATCAAATCTTTCTCAATGTAAATATGTTAATGCATTATTACATACTACTGGTAGTTGTAGTAATTTTATATACTCTTTTACCTGGTCAACCAGTGATTTTAGAAAGCAAAAGTGAAAGTGAGAGGGAAATGGAGCTGCATACTTCTCCATAACAATCCTTGATCTGAACAAAACCATGGAAATCTTTATCTCAAAACACTGTAGACATAAACCAGAGCACAAAGAGGAAAAAATATAGATATAAGAACAAATCAGTACATACTAACATGAGGAACTTTGGAAGGGATTGTTAGAAATCAGATATCTATAGCAGCCAAATAAGGTGTTCAGCACATATGAAGGACACTTTTCTGCCTATTAGCACATGAAGACACATTACATACAACAAAGGGAAGACTTTGGATACGTTTTTATGTCAGGAAAGGAATGACCCAGGTTTCTGGTGTATGTATGCATGAGAAAGGTAATTTGCTGGTCGCTGTGTAAATGAGAAAAGTGAGTGTTTGTTTGTGTATTTGTGAAGGAGGTTTTGTCATGTGTGATTGTGCATCAAACCTTCCCTGACAACTGCTAGCAAGAGGTTCTCTCATTCTCATTCCCTTTCTGACCTTCTTTTTGGTCTCCTTGTTAGATTTTCTGGTTCTCTCAAAAATATCACTTCTAATGCCATATATGGTACCTGTACTACCTCCAAACTAGACACTTATAGACAAACAAGCAGGGAGAGAAGAGAGAGAGAGAGAGAAAGAAAATGTATAGAACCAGTGACACAGGGAAGAAAAGTAGAGTCTCCAGAGGAAAGTTCAGCCTACTGCAAACCAACTGATATTCAAAATGCTTCAGATTCAGCACCATGGACAGGGACAGTCGCTCTGTATCTGCTCAGTTCTGACAGTGACCTAAGAACCCTGGACAGTGGCCATGTACTCACTGAAAAAGTTTTTGGAGTGACAACCTCATTGCATATTGGGTAGTTATAGTGCCAAACACAAAATAAAAAAAAATGGATTGTTAGAACAATCACCAAAACTGCATTATGACAAATTATGAACATTCTAGACAATTTCACAGGTCAAAACATATGCCAAATGTGACCCTGGACCACAAAACCAGTCATAGGGGTCATTTTTTTTAAAATTGAGATTTATACACCATCTCAAAGCTGAATAAATAAGCTTCCATTAATGTATGGTTTGTTAGGATAGGACAATATTTGGCCAAGATACAACTATTTGAAAATCTGGAATCTGAGGGTGCAAAAAAATCAAAATATTGAGAAAATCACCTTTAAAGTTGTCCAAATTAAGTTCTTAGCAATGCATATTACTAATAAAAAATTAAATTTTGATATATTTACGGTAAGAAATTTACAAAATATCTTCATGGAACATGATCTTTACTTAATATCCTAATGATTTTTGGCATAAAAGAAAAATCGATAATTTTGACCCATACAATGTTTTTTTGGCTATTGCTACTAATATACCCCAGCGACTTAAGACTGGTTTTGTGGTCCAGGGTCACAAATGAGTAAATGTTACATTTTCTTCCTTTCTCGTAGGCTGGTTGCATGAGCTGGGTAAACGTCTGGGCACCCCCTATTTACTGTCCCCTCTTGCATCCCTCATTCCTGATTCACTGCGCCCCACCATCTTGGATAGATTGGTGGTCAATTCAAGCCAGTGGAACGGCACTGATCTGGTGGGACATGAGTCTGTGTGGAACTCGAGCCAATGGAACACAACAGGAGCGGGGCCAGTGGGCACTTCAAACGCAGGACAAACTGGAGCCGTACTGGGAGGCGGGCCCTCGATTCGGAGTTCATATGTGACATCACTGTACTTCGCTTTAAGCAGTCTGACCAGCGTGGGCTTTGGCAATGTCTCAGCTAATACTGACTCAGAGAAGATTTTCTCTATCTGCACCATGCTGATTGGAGGTAAGTGCAAGTCACACATTTTTAAATGATTTTGAGTTTTGGATTTATATTGCTTTACTACATGGATGTACATATTTGATTTCTAAACATTGATAATTGATTTTGAATTGAATTGATTTTTCTTGATCATTTTAAAATATCTATATACACTATTGTTTAAAAGTGTAAGATTTTTTAATGTTCTTGACAGTTGTATCTTATGCTCACCAAGGCTGCATTTAAAAATATTGTGAAATATTATTACAATTTAAAGTACATTTTATATTTGCATATATATTGAAATGTAATTTATTCCTGCAATGGCAAAGATGAATATTCAAGACCCCAAACCTTTAAACGGTAGTGTACTCCAGTGGAAAGGATTAGGAGTACTATTATATGTATAAAGAAACACACAAACACACACACACAATAGACAAAATATCAAAAATATAACAATCCATAACTATGCTAATTAGGCATCAGCTAACAGTAATTCCAGGTAATATCTTCAATCCAACAATATATATATATATATATATATATATTTTTTTTTTT